CCCACAGGCCAAATACACACACACACACCCCCCACCAGCTAACCACACACACATCCCCACCCCCCCCCCCACCGGCAAACAACATACCACCCTCACCCCCAGCGAACCACACACACTTTCCCCCCTCTCAACCCCACCACCTAACAACACACACACACATCCAACCCCAGCTAACACATTCCTCCCCACCATGGGCTAACCACACACCCACACACACACACACACACTCATAGTCTCTCTCACTCCCAGTGACTCTCTTTGTGGGTGAGCCTCACTCTCCCAGTGACTCTCCCTGTGGGTGAGCCTCACTCTCCCAGTGACTCTCCCTGTGGGTGACCCTCAGATCCTGCTCACTCACCCTGTTCTCCGGTGTCTCCCCGAGTCTTTCTGTACCCAAGGAGTCCCGGAGCCCACTGGGCAGTGCCCTCCCTGTTCTTACCCATGACACTCGTGCCAGACCCAGGAGTGTCGGCCAGCCTTGGGTCTGAAGTCTGCTCGGCCGATGTTGTGGATTTCTGAGGAGAATCTGAGCAGCCTGCGATGCCCATATGGCCAGTTGGCATTTCGGGCTGAGCTGGAGAGGCAGTCCTCCTCAGCAGCACAGTACAACATGTGCAGGGGCCTGTCCTCGATATATGCCGTCTGCTGGACAAGGCGCGCATCCAAGATCAGGTCCGAGGAAGCTGCAAAGGCACAAGAAAACAATCATTCAAAACCCAGAGCAGCAGGGACAGGCCCCACTGGAGCACTGCACCAGAGCAGCAGGGACAGGCCCCACTGGAGCACTGTGCCAGAGCAGCAGGGACAGGCCCCACTGGAGCACTGTGCCAGAGCAGCAGTGAAAGAGGAACAAGACTGGCAGCTTAATACCAGGATTGAGATGTTTCAGGTGAGATGGAGAGGGATGTAAAAGAAGTAGGGGAATATGTGACTGATTCCAGAGAGAATATCACATCTGTACTGAGGGAGGACACTTTGGAACACTCATCCAACAAGGTCATATGGGCACAGCTCATTAACAGGAAGGGTGCAATCACTTTGATGGGGTTGTACTACAGGCCTCCAATCAGTCAGCAAAAGGTTGAGGAACAGATATGTGGACAGATTACAGAACAATGTGAAAACACTTTAATTTTCCCTATATTGACTGGGACTGAATAGGGGTCGGGT